TGTTCATTCGTTCATTGAATTGACATTGATCACATGTGCACCAGACAAATATTAATTAAATATATTTAGTGTCGTACCTTGGTGCGTGCCGAGTAAAACCAACGATAAAGCAAACGGTCAAAACAAAACGCTCAAATTGCGCGATATATTGAATCGGGTGGCCCGAATCAACGACACCCAATCCATATCTATACATATAATGTTCATTCATCGAGTTGGCGACAGACTGCACCATTCAATTCCATTTCATATTGTTCGTGAAAATTCAAAGATATATCTATCTATCTATATAGATAAATAAAACAGATGAAAATAGTCAAGCGGACTGTACTACAGTCACTGTAGTGCGTTCGCACTCTTTTGCGCTCAGCGTGACACATCCGATAAACAATTTTTAAGTAATTATTTCTCTTTCATTTTAATCAATGGCAAAAAAATTCAATTTAAATGTGAACAAATGGACAAATGATGTGTTTTGAATATTTTCTGTTCCGGCTAGGAGAATGAGAGACAGGAGTGAGTGACAAAAAATGAGCATGGAAAGCAAGACACGCACACACACATATACATCACCATAAAAATTCAATGAATCGGATCAACACTCGACAAGAGTGAAAGCTGATCAATTTGTACACTATCGAAAACACATCCAAACACCAATCGATACATGATTTTCTCGACATTTCACAAATGAATTGCATGCACAACACAAGCAATACATATAATAACAACCGATTTATATGCATTTCAAACCAAATCGCAGACGATTTAATTTCCAAACCATATTTTGGTCATATTTGATCTGTAGATATATGCAAACATCAATTTTCAATACATTTATATTATATGATGTGGAAAGACGAGCATCGAAGGAGAGTTATTCAAAGAATTTAATATAACACTATTGACATGATGCATTTGGAATGTTCGATTTTATATTGGTAATGCTGAAAGCTATAATTTCTTTTCTCTCTCTCTCTCTATGTCGGTTTATAAATGGGCAGATATGAAAGACAATTAAATTCGAATTGAATCGAATTTTCGGAATTTTCGGTTCATTTTTGTATCGAGTACTGGACTTAATTACGTTATTTCCAACAAACATTAAAAAAAAACATCAAAAACTCATCAACTTCTAGAACTTTGTCGTTTTCGTAGCATAAGGACCTACATTTGGATATGGATAACGGTATATATCCGGTGTTCACCGCATAAAACAATGTGACCCACAATGCAACGAACAAACATCGGTTTAATTTGATTTCGATGCAAAACTAACACAAACCTTGTTCACACTCTCTCCATCTCTCTCTCTGTTTCTGTGATGTGCTTGCTTTGGTTCGTTTGTTAATTTTTTTTGTGTGTATATGATGCGCTGTTGTGTGTCATGAGTGTGTATGTATTAACACTGTCTATTGTTATTTTTGTTGTTGTATCTGTTGTTGTTGTCGCCAAAATCGTTAACATGCGAAATAATCGTTCGCTAAATGTACATAAATGTGTATTCAAAGCATTATACACACATCATTTTTAATGGCTAAAGCGGCGCAACAACTGTCATATTAATTTGGTTTCAGGAATTGTGTGTTAAAATCACCACATTTGTATCATCGCAAAATCAATTTAAGGGAATATCAACACACAGCAGCAGCAGCAGCAACAGACTCAATGCGCTAACCAAAATTTATATGCCATGTCTGAATGATTCGACGGCAAATGCAGTACGGTTATTCGGATATAAGTGCGAGTGCATTGAAAACAATACGTGCCACTTATTGCAAAATATTTTATAAGAATAGCCGAATAATGCGTTGAAAATGTTTGGGTCGTCGACGGTTGGCATTGCTTTTGTCGTTTGTTTTGTGTGTTGGTTGTTGTTTTTGATCTCCATTCGAAATTGATGAATGGTAGAAATGGCAAAAGCGAATATCAAACACAGAGACGAACAGAGTAACACATACATTTGCTTGTTATTTTTGTTGTTTTTTTTTTTGTTCAGTTTTTCCCGACTATAATGCACCCGAGCATCGTGATCGGTTTTGAAAGAATGTATGAAAGAAGAGAGGAAAAATCTCGCATCACAGCCATTGCAAATAGCATATATTTGATGCAACAATAATATATACTTGGGAGCAAAATGCATCGAACACCGTGCCAATGCATTGTTGGCTAGGGTCTTTTGTTTGAAACACATGTAATTGATAGAGAATGCAATACAATAGATTAAACTAACATACATGCGATTAAGTACCAAATATGTCATTCGAAGTCCATTGTGTACATTCTTTATTACAACAATCGTTTGTAATGTATCGGCAACGAATAATACCAAAAATTATTCCGAGTGGTAGTTGCTGTTGGTGGTGGTGGCGATGGTGCTGTTGCTGATATGGAGTGTTCGTTGATTTGTTCATACAAATGTAATGCACAATCTTGTCGTTGTCGTTTGCGTTCCGATTTTATTTAATAAGTGCACCTCGTGTGCTGTGCATTAGCATTAATTTTCAAATATTAGTGTGCGAACATTGTGAATAAAAGCGAAAGGGAAACGGAATGAGATATAGATATAGATGGATTTGTCTTGCATAATGTACGAAACGTTTGCACTACAATGCATTTTCAACATCTCTCTTTTACTCGCTGTATGCATTTTTGGTTGCTTTCAATTGCCTCTGGCTTATCGACATAACATGCAAATGCAAACTTCTGGCTTTTACCATTTTCAAGCAAATCACTGTTCGTTGCACCGTCACTCGGTGTGTTCAAACACCACCACGACAACCGTCGGCAAACTAAACCAAACTCCTTTTATTCACTCAATTCCAAAATGCTAGAAATTGAACGAAAGGATGGATTTGAATTTTGATGGAAACCGTCAACAAAGCCAAAATGCCTGCATTTGAAAGACAGACCAACTCAAACGAAACTCCCTTTTAATACAATCAATCGAAAACTCAAATAGCCATTCTTTTGTTTGGCCCGCCATTCCCACTTACCCCACAACACCGCAACCCCACAAACGCACACCAATGCACACACACACACATACACTCTCGTTCTTACTTTGGCCGGTTTGTTCCTCTCTTTCCGTCCGGTCATGCCATTCCTTCATGACATTCAGCATTCGTTTGCTGCATTTTAGTCGCCTTTAGTGGCTTTTGCTTTTGCTATTTTCATGCAAATATGAAAACGACTCAAATAAATAGTTTCCAAATTATCGTATAATCATAACATGAAAATATTCTTGAAAAATCGTTTTTGTGCAGGATCGTTCCACTCCTTCGTATTCGTTTCAATTTCAGAAATTTGTTGTCGCCGGAACGAAGAGAAGATGTGTTTAGAGCATCAAGCAAAGAAATAGTGGAGAAAAAAGAAAATCGAACAGTACCATATCCCTTTGGTGCGCTTTGTTTGCAAAGGAGTGGGTAATTCGACGATTGCTTTATAAAGAAATAATTCATGACGGATAAGAGACACATACACAGAGAGAATTTTATGACAGGCACACACATACTCGCCATAAGGAGAAAGAGAACGATGTGCCGTCTAATATACGGACCAACCTTCATTCTCCAGCATTCATTTCAAAAGTCTCAAATTGTTCAGTCTTTGGTTTGGCACAACATGCACCTATGCAAGTCATTCTTTCTTTCTTCCAATTGCTATCGCTATGATTCCAAAAGATTTACTTAAACTCTTTGAAATCACAAACAGGAATTTCGTTTCATGTCAAATTGCCGAATTGAATGACAAATGTGTGTTGACCCATTTTTGTTGTTGTTGTTGCTGTTGATCTTTTTAAAATGGCATTCACTTTGGATCACCGTAAATTGTGACCATTCGTCGAAAATCAAGTCATTCACACAAACATTTCAAAATTGCACAAGCCAACAAAAAAAACCAAATTGCCAATCGCTTGCAGCACACAAAAATGCACACCCAAATAAAAACGACAATAACAATAAAAAAAACGAACATTTTAAATATTCGATTACATCAATTTCTAATTAAAATTGTCTTTTGCTGATTCGAAATAAATGGCCGTTAATGAAATTAAGATTTAATCGGATTGGTATGAAAACATTTTTCAACGCAAACGACAAGAACATGCAATGTTCAATAAATGTCTCTCTCTTTCTATCTGTGCAAATGCACATTTTCACCGCTGTTTCTGGTTCGAATGGTGTCTGGTTGTGTGTCGGCTGGTTTGGTTTAACATTGTTTTGTACGCAAAGCACGAAGGTTTTAATCGAAAGATTTAATCCATTCGTGTGTGTGCGCGCTTCAACTGTACATATATCTTCAAGTGTGAACAAATTGAAAAATCGATTCATGTAAGTAGAGTTATACTTATTATTCATTACGATATATTCTATTACATTAATTTCTTGTTGCCGGTGTCGCTCTTTCTTTCTCAGTTTGTTCCGTGACTTGTGCAAGGAATCGACTGAATTCCAGCAAATGTAATACATTTTTAATGTTCAATGGTTATAGTTTGCCACTTTGAACACATGAATTGCCTGTTAAACGTGTCATGACATTTTTAATTTCAAGTACATCATGTACAATTGTACATGCTCTCATTTTGCCACTTCCACCTCGATGAGGTGAAAAAATCTATAAAATTCGATACACGAATAATCCCTGAAACGATTTTCCGAGAAAGAAACTCAACGAAAAATAAACCGCATTTCAATTTGATCGCGTGAAAATTGTTCATCTCATAATTGTTGAACACACTTTTGATCATGACGATCATTTTTGAATGCGAATTTTCTTTCAGATTTTTTTTTTCTTTCATAAAATATTCATTCTTTTTAATAATGAGTTATTATCTAGTTGATTTTTTCATTTAAAAGAAAATTTATTTATATATACTTTTTTTCGTTCGTCGACAAAATGTCTATTTGTTCGGAAAAAGTTTAAATGTTTATTTTTAATAAAATTAAATTGTCTTGTTTATTTGCTATGATTATCATTTATGTTTGACAAAATCTTACCTTTATTGATGAGTGAAATGCAAATAGCCAGAAGGAAAGTTGCCGTCATCCTTCCACGTTCACCGTTATTTTTCGTCATGGCTTTCTTTTTATAAGCAACAGCAAAACGAAGACGTGAACAAAAAAATAAAACCGAAAATATTCTCCTGTCAACACACAAACACAAATACGTACACCAAACAAACAACTGGCAGAGTCAAAGTTCTTTTGTTTGCTATTGGCTCCTTTTTTTATCAGAAGCGTCGTTTTTCTTCAGTTCTCTTGCAATTATGAACTCTTCAATAATTTTCCAGTTCTTTTCTGTGTATCACTTGTAAATTATCGAAATGGCCGTTGTCAGTGTATGTTTTCTTTGCATTTCTCTCTCACGCTATCGGGTCAGGTAAGTTTGTGCCGACAGTTTGTGCGAAAAGTTTCTTCTTTTCAATTAGTTAGTGTTTGTTAAATGTGAAAATTCTCTATTTCTCTGTAAAATGTTTCTTTTTTTCAGGGCAAAAATCTGTATGTATACATATAAATTCAATTTGATCAAGAATAGGTCATACACTGCACTTTTAATGAATTTCAACTATTTTTCCCTTAAATTTGCATATCAAGTAAAGACTACTCCTTTTTTTATTGTAAAATTGTTATGTTTGCATGTGAATCGTTCTTCCTTTTCCTTTCAAGGTGTATATGGTGCACAGAAAAAAAACGGTAAATAAATAATTTTGCAATGTCGTCCGTGCTTTTTTAAATTAATTTTTATACGTGTTTTATTTTTATTTTGTTCAAAAATTATGTGCTGCAATGAACTGTTATTACTTTTAATAAATTATGATTGTTATGTTAAAAAATATGTCTATCTTTAAATTATTGTTCTTTATCCGTGGTTATTTATGTTCCTGCAAAAGTTTGGCAGTCGACATAAAAGGAGCGAGTTAAACCAAATGAACGAGCAAACTATGAATTGATTGTTTATATTACGCTTTTCATTTCCGTTATCGCGTGCTCTTTTTCTTTCTCTCTCTTTCGAGGTGTTTTTTTTTTGTAAGAGTAATGGCAGTGTGATCACTTGAACGTTTCGTTGAAAACTGAACAACAACTCAAGTCAAATAGAAAATTTTTGGTTGAGAAATTTGCAAAAGTTTCCGCGTGTCTCAGCGTTTCTATTTTACGTTTACACTGAATGGAATCGCGTTCGTTTTGTGACTAAAACTTAAACACTTAATTTGCAGCTGTTTGTTTATTCTTTTTTACGCACTAATTGTATAAACTTTTCGAATATTGCTTGTAATGATCGTTGTGTCTGTGAAAAACGACCAAAATCAAAATCGAAACAAATAAGTTGTCCGTGAATATAAAAAAAACAACTCACGCACACAAACATACGACAGCGAAACAAGAAACGAGATAAACTAAAAATACGTTGAGGTGGGTGAAGAAAATGCCAAGATGTTTTTCTCTTCTCTTCGATTTGCGCGAAAAAATTCGTGTGTACCTTGTTTGTGTGTTTTATTTCGTTATTTATTTGTATCGTTTGTTCTTTTGTTTGTTTCACTTTTCAGCAATTCACTATCATTGATTGTTCAAATATTAACTTTCAGTTCATAGTTGTTTAGGTATACTGTATTGATCAGATAATGAATCCAATAAATAATACAAAATGGAAAAACAAAAGAAAATTAACAGAATCAAATTGACATGTTCAAGTGAGCCAGTCAACCGATCGTTTTGATGACTTTTTCAACACGTTCACCGTTTTTTCTTTTAAATCTTCTTTCCTATTTAATTTCGTTGCGTATTTGACAGATTCAAATGAAAACAACAACAAAAAGATATCGTTTGAATTTAAAAAAAAACTACACTGTTGTCTTTATTTAGTCGTTTTTGAATTGTTTTATCTTACTTTCTTTGACTTTTTGAAAGTTATGTTGATCGGTTGTTTAAATTCAATCAAACGGTCAAAAGCACGTTGAAGCGACTTTGCCGATTCGAATGTGTCGCACAGAATTCTGACGATAAATGTAAAAACGCTTCAATAGCAGGAGAATATTGGCTTATGATGTTTATTTACATCGTTCATTTCATTGACTGAATTGTAAACACCATTGATACAGCTATTGTACCCCCGAATTTCAGTCACACACACGCCGCTCATAAGACTCACTCATTTGCTTGTGCACGGTGCTGTGCTCAACTGCTGTCCTGTGTGCTATATGAATTGTATTGGCACATTTATGATGATAGCGGCACTCCGGCATACTGCAGCTGTGTGTCGGTTGTTCGCAACGTAAGTGTGTGGATTTAACTGGAAAATATGCCCGGCCCGCCGAACCGAATCATTCGTATCGCATTGAAGGCAATAAACGCAATGAAAATTTAACATTTTAAGAGAACGCAATAGAAAACGGAACGGAACGGAATGGTGCGACATCGGATATATTCATTCATCCACAATGCATACACGATCCACATCATATACACAACACTGTGTGTATGGCATTTAAAATCGTCGGCCACACAAAATTGTCGACTGAATATCGCGAGGATAGATCACCGAATCACATTCGGTCTTGTTGTGTGTACATCGACACCGAGAGAGAGAGGAAGAGAGAGAGAGAGAGCAGCAGCACACCGACGACGACGTAACACCGTGTTCGTTTGACTGACGAGCTGCATGGTGTTGGAAAAGTGCTGAAGTGGAAGTGGAAGCATTGAGTGCCAGAATTTTCAATGCAATTCGATGGTAAAACGAAGAGATGTTATGAACGTTCTTCGTTCGTTAGTTCATTTGATGTTTTGCTTGTTTGTTTATTTGTTGTTTGCTTGCTTATTTGTTTGTTCTTTCGGTTCGTTGCTATTGATGCTGCTTTTGCTGTTGCTGTGTGTCATTGTTGAACAGTGTGTTTGTCATGTGTGTGCGCTCCATGCAAAATATCACCAAGTTTGGGCTCAAGTAAAGATGTTATGTTAACATAGGCTTTTTGAATGCCACTGTGTGAATGTCACTGCTTATTGTTGCCGACCATAACGGTATTTATCGTTTTGTATATTTTCGAGATGGCAAAATTGTGAGATGAATAGAGAAAAGAGAAGAAAAAAAAACACACACACACATAAATCTATTCAATATGAATAGCGAAACATGCAAAAGCACACATTTCGCAAGTGTGTGTGTGTGTGTCAAAGGAATGTCGATTTGAACATCAAACACATTAGAACGAGCCTTCTGTCCGGTCTCTCTTCTCGGCATTGCTTTTGAATTATTCTGAATGCGAGCACAACATACATATGATATATGTATATATAAACGAATGAATGAATGGTGCAAACACAAAATGCGTGCAATATTTTATTGAAACGTTAAACATACCACCGCATATATTCAATAAGTGTATTCCGTTGTAAAGTTAAATGTAAAACACACGCAACAACATTCAACGCCTGATTCGTGTCCTTCTCTTGTGTTCTCTATCACTTTTCGCTTTTCTCCCTGTCTGTTGTCTCTATTTGTGTGCCGATGAAATGGTGAAAGTACGCACAAAAAAGAAGGGCGAATGCGATGATGATCCATTCAGGGTAATATAACTTCATTTCACCTTGATATTTTTATTCGATACGCTATTTTGCCCTTTTTTCCGCCGATCCACTCCTCAATCGTTTTGTTCGTTTATTCGCTCGTTTGGTTTTTCGTTCTCGCACACCTGATTGAAAAATATTATTGATATATTGATAAAGTTCGTGCATCATAAAAATAACGAATGAAAATACATACAAACACACAAACTACGAGAAGTAGAGAGCGCACATTTGATTCCATTATGCACGTAGAAAGAGAAAGAAAAAAATTGTACGGTAAATTGTAACGAATCGAATGAAGAAAATCTTCATTGCTCTTCTCGGCTTGCTCTTTTGAAGTCAAAGTGGTGCTCGCGTATCGAAGAAACGACCAAAAATTCGTTCGAATGAAACGATGATGTGGTGGAAAGACAGCGAAAAAAATTGCGGTTACGAGGCAAGCGTGCGCTCAACTCACATGCTTACACATTCAAACAACATTTCCATAAATAATTTTTTTTTTGTTACGCTCGCGCTCGTTCGTTTAACGGCCAAATACAAAAGAGATGAACATGGAATATATGATCATGCATGTAAAATGAATTGAGGAAATGGCAAACGTTATTTGAAGAAAAAGGAGAAAAAAATACCATATTTTTATGTGCGGCGAACGAAATGAAAAACTAGTACATCCACACACACACATACCGACACAACGTATGAAAAAAATAAGCGACAAAAAAAGACGTAATTTAAAAGAGTTTTCATTTCATTAATTTTCATTTAATGACTTTTCCACAATTTTATGTGATGTCACTTTAATTTCAATTTAATTTCGTGTCAGTCGTCAACGCTAAGCCATTTACTGGCGTTGCTGTCGCCAACACATATAGACAATGACGATACCGACGATGCATCAGCAGCACTACAATCGCAATTCATTCATTATAATCGAATGGTAATTTCATGAGCCATTGGGTTGGCTACCATTGCCTTGGCTACTACTGCTCATGGTTGAAATTTGAATTAACGTTGCCAGCGATGAGCATTTCTATTCCAATGTTTTATTTGTTACTTTTGCTCGATCGCACTTTTCCAATGTGGCTTTTAACACCTTGTTCCATTTTATATCTATACAAACGTTCATTCTAATATTAATTCAATACCTGTAATCCGTGATGAACTGAAGAGAAGAGAAGAAAAAAAAACTAAAACAAAATATCAGCTTTCAAGTGAAATAAAAAAAACAGACTGGTACAACCATTTTCACAATATACACACGCACCGCAAAAACCAAGAGAAAGAGATCGAAAGAGTAATATAAAGCGCAAAAAATGAATTCAACTGGATGTGATGAAATATGCACATAAATTATGCGATTCACACAGATCCTTAGAGAGAACTCTTTTGCACACCATTTCTCTCCTTTTCTCTCTATCTGCCAAACGCTCACTTTTATTGAGAAACGGTATTTTTCGTGCACAAACAAACATATAAACCACAGCTCAACGAGCTATGAGTGTAAGACCATACATTATATGCTACTGGCCACTCCCGCCATTGGCTTTACCGTGTGTATATGTGATTAGACGATATGGCAATTCGGTTGAATGAGAGTTGCACCACAGGAGATGCTTCTAAAACAACAAGTATACATTCGCCAAATGCCCATTACATTTTACTACCATCCCATTAACAATTGGCTTCCAAAACACTAACCAAAAATGACCGAACCGCGCTCGAAATTTACCTTGCATTGTCGATATTTTTCACTTTCGCGCGATCTATATGCGATACATAAATGCTTCGTTTGCCTTTGAAATTCGTAGTTCTTATGGTAAAAATGATTTATTTACTATTTTCCGAGTTGAATGCAATGAATTGGTCAGACCGGCAGTGAACAAAATAAATACCCGAAACAGAGAGATCGTTGTGAAATTCATTCAATTGACTTCCGACCATACCTTTTTTCTCATCTCGTACTTTCTCTCTCTCTCTATCTCTATCTCTTTCACCGCTGCTCGGCTGGTGTTGTGTTGTTTTGTCGAGTCTTGTTCCGTGAGAGAGGGTGGATTTAACACACGGAACAACCGCTGTGTCTATTTTGGATAAAACATAATAATTAAAGGTAATAAAATAAAACTAAAAGTCCAACATGAATAGCTATTGCTAGCACAATGGCATACCGGAGAAAGAATCGTACGACAGAAGGACCAGGAAAAAAAAACTGTGGACAACAAAATACATTGTTTGCACGTGTTAAAAATTATGACGAGAAAATGATATGACTCAGTCACATTGTAAGCAACACAAAAAAGGGGATTCGAAAACCAATATATACACTTTCATTGCAAAAGTTTTGAACCAATTTCAATATTTGGCGTGCATAGCGTCTTTCAAACCAAAATTATGTTTCAATAATAAAAAAAGGGAATGATATAATTTTTTTTCATTAAAAAATAAGGAAAATCAGGCGCACACACACGCGCGCGCACAACTCCATCAAAATTACGAAATTCGTTCATTTTTTCTCATTTAGTTTATTGTTGATGATTGTTTGGTATGAGAAAGCGAAAGTAAGAATGAAAAATGGTGAGAACAAAACATATATTATTAATCTATGTTGCAGTTTAATATGAGAGTAAGATTGAGAGTACCAGTGCGATCGAACGCGAGCGGCTTTACCATTATCGCTGCATGCATTTATCCCTCTCGCGTTCGTTTAACGCTTAATGGATTGAACAGTTGTTCTTATAATTGAATGAGCGACACAATATAATTTGGAAAAAAAAAAATCAAATATGTGGAAAGTAGCGAAGTGTCCATTTAAATTAAAATATGAGATTATGAACGGGAGAAAAACAAGTCAATGCCTCTTTCTTGCATACGATTTCTCTGTTGGATTCATCAGTTGCGCATTATATATATACCCCTCATTAAATGGCAGTTTACAGTTTGTAAGATTGAATTTTTGGCTGTGTGTTTTTCAAGAGTTGCCTTCGTCAAATTATATTTACTTGCAATTCGGAATGTCGACTCGGTGGCCGTAAAACGATAATGGTTTGAAACATGGTTTGGGCGGATTCCGTTTTGGCAATCACATGCAATTGACTCGACGTTTTTTCTGCCTTTCTCTCTCTCGTTTGCCGTTTTTCGTTTGTTCAAAATGCCTTTTTTTTAATTCACATATCCTCTTTAAACCAAATATTCTTCTGCACATCACAAAAATAAACCTATGACTACTGATACTCTTACGAAGACGTTGTGACTACGATTGCCATTTCTTTTTTGAAATGACATGAAAAAGAAAACAAAATTCGGTGCTCGTTTAACTTGGTTCTCATAAATTTTCAGAAAAGTATTCCACGGCATTGATCATCTCTTTTTCTTATTATGTGTGTGTGTTTCGGATGTTCCCCAAGAAAACACGAAGAAAACGCACAAGGATCATTCATTCAGTTTCCATCCATTTTCCGCTCTCTTTTTCTCACTTTTTAACATGCACTTCATTTCTATTGTGAGAGTTTTTGCAATCCAAAAAAAGAAGCGAAGATTTTCCACAAATGCTTTCAATTCCATGATGATGGTCGGTTAAACGGCCAAACTACAAATACCATATCCATTTATGAGAATGGCTTAAGTGGTTATATGTCATTATGAAAGCGTATGCGACCAA